CCCAACGGAAAAAATGGGCTCAGTCCCTATACGTTGGTGAGGTGACCCACGCCCCCCCTCAGCCGAAGCGGCGGCATATGGAAGCCATCACTTTCACCGACAAGGACCTCCCCTTCGGCCCCTTGCCCCACAGGGACGCCCTCGTCGTCAAATGCGAGATTGGCAACAACATCATCCATCGCAACTACATCGACACTGGCAGCTCCGTCAATGTGATGTACGTTGATACATTCAGACAGCTGAAGCTGAAGAAGACCGAGCTCCGGCCGATACGGACTCCGTTATCCGGCTTCACCGGGGACTCTATCGATGCCGAGGGCACGATAGTGCTTCCCGTTGTGGTCGGTGACGGTACCTGTCAGGCAAAGATTGACATGGAGTTCGTGGTTGTCAACCTGGACAGCGCCCACAATATGATCTGGGGACGACCGGCCTTGGAGGACCTTGAGGCCATCATCTCCATGAGACATCTATGCCTCAAGTTCCCCACCAAGGACGGCGTCGGCTACGCCAGAGGGAACCAGAAGATAGCCAGGGCTTGCTACCTGAAGCTCACAAGGAAGATCAATGAGGCCGAGGAGCGGATCGACACTATCACCACCGCCTCGGCCCAAGAAGACACGCCAAAGGCCGAACCGGTCGGAGACGTGGAAGATGTTCCGTTGGACGTCTCCCGGCCGGAACGAATGCTGAAAATTGGGACACAGCTCCCCCAACAGATCCGAAGGGACATCCTCTCTGTCCTGAGAGCGTACGCCATCGTCTTTGCATGGGGACCAGAGGACATGCCGGGCATCAGCCCAAAGGTTATCACACATCGGCTATCGGTGAACCCGGCCTCCTCCCCCATCAAACAGAAGAAGCGCTACCTCTCAGCCGACAGGAGGGAATTTGTCAAGGCCGAGGTGGCCATGCTGCTCAGCATCAAGCACATCAGAGAGGTGAAGTACCCCACGTGGTTGGCGAACGTCGTCCTCGCCCAAAAGCCGCCTACGTTCAGAATGTGTGTTGATTACACTGACTTGAACAAAGCGTGCCCAATGGACCCATTCCCTCTCCCCAACATTGATCAGTTGGTGGATGAGACGGCGGGGTGCGAGTTGATGTCGTTCCTCGACGCGTTCAGAGGGTACCACCAGATATCCATGCACGAAGATGACGCGGAGAAGACCGCTTTTATGACCCCGGAAGGAATTTTTTGCTACCTCGTCATGGCCTTTGGGCTCAAGAACTCCGGCGCCACCTACACATGGATGGTAGCCCGGATTTTTAGAGCAGTCTTAGGTCGGACGATGGAAGCATACGTCGACGATATGATCGTCAAGAGCAAACAATCCACAACCCATGCCGACGACCTCCGGGGCATCTTTGAGATCATGAAGAAATACAACCTCCGGCTCAACCCGAAGAAGTGCACCTTCGGCGTCCAGGGAGGTAAATTCTTGGGGTACCTGGTCAGCCGAAGGGGCATTGAAGTGAACCCGGAAAAGATACAAGCCATTGTCAATATGGAGCCACCCCGCAACATAAAGGAGGTGCAACGGCTGACGGGACGCCTCGCGGCCCTGAACCGTTTTCTCTCAAAATCCGCGGAAAAGTCGCTCCCCTTCTTCCAGATAATGAGGAAGGCCACCAGCTTCAAATGGACGACGGAATGCCAACAAGCCTTTGAGGAGCTGAAGCAATATCTCGCCTCCCCACCCGTCTTATCCAAGCCCCAACCCGGCGAGACTCTCTTCCTTTACTTAGGAGTGAGCACGTCGGCCGTCAGCTCTGTACTCATCAGGGAGGATGACGGGGTACAAAAGGCAATTTTCTACGTCAGCAAGACATTGCGGGAGGCCGAGCTCAGGTACTCCCCCATCGAGAAGACGGTGCTGGCCATCGTCCACACGGTGAAAAAGCTGGGGCACTATTTTCAGGCTCACCCCGTCCAAGTCCTCACGCATCAGCCGTTGGGCGCCCTTATGAGGAGCCCAACCAGCTCCCCAAGGATGATCAAGTGGGCAATATTCTTGAGCCAGTACCAGATTGAGATAAAGCCGAGGCCATCCATCAAAGGGCAAGCCTTGGCTGACTTTGTCACTGAATGCACGGCAAGGGAGACGGCCGTTACCACCACAGGAGCTGAACCAGACGAAGCTTGGACCCTCTACACGGACGGGTCCTCGGCCACCAAAGCTTGTGGGGGTGGCGTCGTCCTCATCTCCCCAGAAGGATTCAGAGCATACTATGCCATTCGCTTCAACTTCAAAGTATCCAACAATGAGGCTGAATATGAGGCGCTCCTCAGCGGGCTCAGACTGGCCGCTGGCCTCAAAGCGCGCCACGTCAGAATCAAATGCGACTCCAAACTCGTAGTGAGCCAGATGGAGGGTTCCTACGAGGCCAAAGAAGGGAGGATGAGGCAATACAAGGAGGCCGCTGCGGAATTGCTCAGGGCATTCGACACCTACGAGATCACTCAGATCCCAGGGCGGAGAACGCCGAGGCCGACATCCTCTCCAAACTCAGCTCCGACACCCCTGAGCACATCTCCAAGATAGCTAAGGTGGAGGAGTTGAGCATGTCAAGCATTCACGCCAGCCCTATACTCTCCATCCAACACCAGCCGGAGGATTGGATCACCGACATCGCGACCTACATCACCTCCGGCACACTACCTGAAGACGAGGAGAGGGCTAAACTCGCCAAACTCAGGGCGCCAAGCTATGTCATTGAGGGTGACAAGCTCTACAAAAGATCATACAACGGCACCCTCCTCCGGTGCCTCCACCAGAATGAGGCCGAAGTGGCCATGGAAGAAGTCCACTGCGGCGTATGCTCATCACATCGGGGGCCCTTCAGCATGTCGCGCCGCCTCGTCATCCAAGGCTACTTCTGGCCGACGATGGCGCGTGACTGTGCTGAGGTCGCCCGCAAATGCAGCGCATGTCAACACTATCAAAGGGCACCTGGCCGACCAGCTGTCAACTACGCCCCGGTCAGCACTGCCATTCCATTTTCCAGATGGGGCATCGACCTCGTCGGCCCTCTACCAAGAGCTGCAGGCAACAACAGATACATCATCGTCGCCATCGACTACTTCACCAAATGGGTCGAGGCCGAACCACTCGCAAGCATCACCGGAGCGCGGTGTCGAAAGTTCGTCTACAAGAACATCCTCACCCGCTTCGGCGTGCCTCAGGAGATCATATCGGACAACGGCACCCAGTTTGAGGCCGAACCATTCCAAAGCCTCCTCCAAGAATGGGGTATCAAGCACCGTTTCTCCTCCATCGCCTACCCTCAGGCCAACGGGCAAGTTGAGAACGCCAACAGAACCATCTTGGAGGGGCTAAAGAAGAAGCTCGAAGAAGAAGGCGGAAGTTGGGTCGACGAGCTCCCCAACGTCCTATGGTCCTACCGCACTACGCCGAGGAGGGCCACCGGGGAGACACCATTCTCCTTGTGCTACGGCTTCGAAGCCAAGGCTCCCACTGAGGTGACGCTTCCCAGCCGACGGGTCACACAATACGACCCCGAAGCCAATGAAGAAGCCATGAAGATTGACTTGCACCTCATTGATGAAAGGCGGGAGATGGCTTACCTCAGAGCGGAGAACTACAGACGACAAGTCAAATCCTACTACGACGCCAAGGTCCGCTCTCGCGAATTCCAGGTGGGGGACTACGTCCTCCGCCGAAGGGAAGTAAGCAAGCCGACGGAAAGAGGAAAGCTCGCCGTCAAATATGAAGGGCCCTACATCATCAGCGCCGTCATCAAAGCCGGCACTTATAGACTAAAGAACCCTAATGGGTCAGATGTACCACGATTGTGGAATGTACACCACCTGGTGAAATTTTACCAATGACTCGAGAAGCGGTGAAGCGGGCAACGTCCCCCACCCCTCGGCTTATTGGTTGAATAAAACACCCTCGGCCTAGCGCCACTTATTGAATAAAATTCATGTTTCATCCAATCTCTTAAGATTTGAGCAAAGGGAAACCCAAGGACCGCATCGGCCTAAGCGGTGCAATCACCCGGGACCGATGCGACCTAAAGCCGTTGCAATACACAACGCACCTAAGGCCGTTGCGATCCACAACGCGCCTACAAAGCCGTTGCATAGACAACGCACCTAAATATCGTATCGGCACAAGCGGTGAAACACCCAAATCGGCCGGCGATATGCAGGACGAAGGACCTGTGTGCATGGTCCAACGTCTTCAAACGGAGAAGTATACCGCGTCGTCCGTGCGGAAACCGCAGGACGACAGGTCTGAATTAAGGCTGAGGTTACAAAAACTCCACCCGTCAGTAAAATTTCGCTCAGGACCACAAAGGGCGGCCGTCAAAAGACGATGCCTAGTCCGGTCCCTCGTCGACGATAGACGTGGAAAGGACAAAAAAAAAAAAGTGCCACTGACACACCAAGCCGAGGCCGTATTTACTCCCTCGCACTAATTCACGCGAAAAGCGTAGCGGACAAACTACCGCACATGGACGAAAGGACAGTAACCCTTCGGCCACACACAAAAAAAAAAAACAAAAAAAAGAGGGAAGCCGACGGACCGCGCACTCGCCGGCCTCGAGCATAAAATAAAATCCCCACAAAAACCAAGCCTCAAAATTGGCTAAGTACATATCAGGATCACCATGTAGGAATACGAAGTGCACGCGTCGGCCTCGACCGCGACATCACAAGAGTAAATCGCTTCGGCCTCAGTCACCCGAGATCACATTCTAGCACTCGGACGATGAGTCGCATCGTCTACAAGTGGCAAAAACCCAAGTGATAAAAAGGAGCAAAACTCCTACAGCTAGGCAAGCTTGACACTTAGCAAATTATCTAAGCCGCATCACCACAAAGACGATGCACTACCACTGCGCATCGCTTCGTCCCCAACACTTCAGGATCAAAGTCCAAGAACATGACTCGGAATAGTTGTCAAGGCAAAAATGGAATTCATCAAGGGACGACGGGGCGCATCGTCTTCAAAGAATGGGGGTCGCTACGTCTCAATTAAAAGATGCCAAAACGGAATTGTGACACTTAGAAAATTTTACAAGAGCAAACATACTTAACTACAAAGACGACGAGGGAATCATGGTGACAAAGACTTATCATTAATGGATAAAAAGATACAAGAGGTGGGCGCTTCGGCCATTACATGCACTTCAGTGCTATGGCTACAAAAACTAATACAAGAAAATACTAAGCTACAACATTAGCTGGCACTCCACCATCAACAGCACCGTCGCCGTGGCCGGCATCGGCATCATCATCACCACCACCCTCATCGGCTTGGGAGTCGGCAGGCCCTTCGAGCAAATAGTCGTCACTATCACTCCACGGCTCTTCCCCTTCAGACGAACTTAGGATCGGGGGCTGCCTCTCCAACAGGGGGAGCTTCAAATCCTCGTCAGGATTTTTCATTCGCCGAGGGAGACTCAGACCCCTCGGCCTCATCTTCCGGAAGCGACGACGAAGCTTCCTGTAGATCAGCTTCTGCATTCTGTACTGACCACAGTCGTAGAAAGCTTGCATCTCGTTCATCCAGAATTCTTGGCCGGCGGGGTCCTTCGTCGTCCAATCATTCAACCTCTCGGCAACCACCTCATAGCAGAAGGGGAGCTGGTCCTCGGCTTTCCACCCCTCGGCCTTGAAGTCGGCTACGGCCTTCTCAGCAGCCCCCTCCGCCTCGGCTTTGAGCCGCTCCGCCTCCTCAGCTCTTTGGACGGCAACGGCAACGGCCTCATCAGCTTTCCTCCGGGCTGACTCGGCCTCATCAAGACGCAGCTGAAGGAGCTGCATTTCACCCTCCGCGGCCTTGGCCTTGTCCCTCAGATCTTGGAGAGCCTCATCGGCCGAGACAGCCTTTGCCTCCATCTTCTTTAGCCGCTCTATTTCGGCTTCCTGTCTCCAGTGCTGCTCCCGCAGCATTAGGGCACCCTGGACGAAGCGGAATTTGAAATCAGAAGAGAAACAAAAGCAAAGAAAAAAAAATCACCAAGGAAAATGTCTTACCTGGACGACATAGTCCATCCCTCCGTCGTACAGCCGAACATGCTGGCCTTGTCGGCCGAGATACTGGCGATCATACTCAGGCATAGCCTGAGCAAGCATGTCATCATCGCCGACGGTCTCGTTGAAAAGACCACCTTTGACAGGGTATCGTACGGAGACCTCATACGACCCCTTAGCAAGAGCCTCCTCCAAACGGGCGGCAGCGGCAGTAGAGGGAGCAACTCGAGAAGCCGAGGCCACAACGGCCGACGAAGGGGGATCATTCACAGGAGGGACCGCCGACGGCTGAACATCCGCAACAGCCTGAGATGAGGGGGCGCCGGCCTCTTCATTCGTGGGAGCCCTCTTCGTCTTCTTCGAAGCCTGGCTCAGTTTTAGCCCCGCTTCGGCCAGAGTCTTTTGGCCCTCATCAGCAGCCCTCCTGCTCTTCTTAGCCACAGGCTTCTTAGCGGCCTCAACACCCCCTTGGGAACCGCCCGCAGACTTCTTTGCTGCCTCGGCAGCTTGAGCAGCTTTCAACTCCGCATCGGCCTTCCTGGCGGCCCGAGCCATAAATGACATGCGATCCATATCGAAGCCTGCACAAAAAGACACAAGGGTTAGCAAAGGAAAACGAAACATCATGAAAAGATAAAGAAAGGAGGTCAACCTTCGGCCTCAGCTGGCACGCCTAGGCGGGGCCCGTCGGCTTGCTCATAAGACCCCACCATCTTCGGCCAAAGATCATCATCGACATCACCAGGACAATAGTATCTCACGAAGCCGAGAGCAGCCATCCGATACTCAGTAACGTATGTCTTGATGCTCCTCGGCCCCCCCTTAATAAAGGCCTCTACTTGATTACTTATTTCGGCACTCCAAGGGGGGGTATGCAATTCAAAGAGGCCGCTGTGACCATTGGAAGGAAAGAAGCCACCCTGACCCAAGGTGACGAACACGAACTTGGCCTTCCAGCCATGAATGGACGTAGGGAGATCCGTAAACGACCTCCTCCCACTAATCTGCTGCAGGGTTGCGTAGCCGGCACAGTTTTGATGGCTCCCTCGGCCTATCCGGAACAAGTTCATAAACAGGGCAGTCGTCGGCGGAATCTCCAACTCTTTACACCGGATCAAGAAGCCGATGATGAGCGAAAAGCTGTTGGGAGTCAATAAGGCCGGAGGGAGCTCCACCATCTCAAGATATTCCTTGATGAAGGGATGAAGAGGGAATCTCAGACCCTTGGCAAAACTCATCGGGTAGACACCAAAATAGCCCAAAGGCGGGTTCAGAACATGATCCGACGGCAAGGGGGCTCTGACACGGCCGTAGGGACCGACGTACAGCTGCGCAACGTGATAATCACCGAGGGTCCCCTCCGGCCGAATGATGTACAAGTTGCTGAGATCTAACTTTGAAAACCCCTGCGGTACTCCCTTACGATGCTTCCGCCGGTACGGTTTTTTCGTCTTAGGAGCCGAGGGGCCTTCCCCCGCTACTGACGATATCGGCGGAGGACAAGGAATGCGGGCAGACAAGGATGCCTCATCCCCCCTCAGAGGCGAGCTAGATGTCGCCTCGTCCTCACCAGAATTATGTGCTCCCGCGTCGGCACTCATTCTCTCCTCATCTACGGAGGTGCGGTAGTCGGCGGTATTCTCCATCTCGATCTCGAAGGCTTCAATCAGTCGAAGATCAACTCCAGGGGACGTATCGTCCTCGTCAAAAGGCCAATCCGACTCGTCCAAAGAAGCTGTCAAATCAACGGGGGAGGGAACGCTACGGCTGTTAGGGAACGGCATAACACTTAAACCTATTGCTAAGGGCGGTTTTTCGGATCAAAGTGACTTTCCTACGAACACTAGATCTAACCCCCTAGGAAGCAAAGTATAAGGAAAAATGAAGAAACAATTACAAGAACCTAACCTTGAAGTTTTGAAGAACACTTGAACACCTGGAGATTCGGGGAAGCACTTCTCTCTCTAGGAATCTCAGCAGCAATTCGACTTAGGCAAAAGGCGAATGAGGGAATGGCTTCGGAATTGGGGGTACTTATAGGTACCCCTCCAACGGTCACTACACGTGGCAATCCCCAATTGGGCACCTCAACGGCGCCTCTCCTAAAGCCAATCAGCGCTTGTCTTTTCACATTCCACTCTAAAGCCACCACTACGGCCCAACAGGCCCCGAAACTAGGGGTAGGCACAGGCCTACTCGCTCAAACGCAATAAGAAACTCGCTACGGCCCAATTTACCAAGGAAATGGCCGCATCAGCAAACACGCTACGGCCCCAAATCAACCCCAAGAAACACAAGTACCGCTACGGCTACTCACACGCACATCGTTTGATGATGACCCTGGTATTGCGGCCTTCGTCCAAGGGTTCTCCCACAGGGTTACCTTGTACAGGTTCGCCTAAGGGTTGGACTCACGACTAACGCATGGGTACCGTATCGGCTCGAGAACATCATGACTCCCTTGTGCCTCAAATACTCTTCGGCCAAAGGAGTGGGGGACTGGGGGACTATATCGGCCACAAGAAAGAAGACAACATAAAAAGGGAGCGCAACGGCCTTAAGTGCAAAAAGGGTGCGCTACGGCTCACTAATTAGCCGCGAATCACCTCAATGACATTGCGGATCGCATCGGCTACAGACCCAAAAATTTAAAACACTTATACAAAATACAGCGCGCAACGACTACGTACATTGGGGGGACTGCGCCGGCTCACCAAGGCGAGAACACCGCAAAGCAAGAATGCTCCGGCCACGTGACAAGATCAAAGACAGGCATCGCATCGTCCTCACGAACAAAATCAGTCATCCCCATTTCGCAAAAACAAGGACCATCACTACGGCCAAAAAAAAAATAAATAGGACCTCTTCGGCCCCAACAAAATGGTAATAAAACAGGCCAGTTCCTCCATAATTCACATCTACTGGAAGAAGAAAGCGCACCGCGTCGTCCTCGGAACACTCTTCACAAATAGCGCATCGGCCCGCACCAAAGTTATGAAATCCCCAAGCGCGCCCCGTCTGCATCAGAGGAGGGAACCGCTTCATCCCAAAATCAAAGCAGAACCTCTTCAGGCCACCAAGCACCTCGAGCTCACACAGCGGCCAGCCAGAAAGGAACAAGTACTCCCTTTCGCTTCGGCTTCACCTCAGCTCAGAGAGTGGGGGACTCCTGATAGAGTATATGGGCCTGGACCCCATGGCCCCACATACTCAAGTCAACGACGACGAGAAAAACACCCACGTGGCCCCCATCGGCCAGCAGGCCCGCATCGGCCAGAAACCAAACCGGCCCAGAAAGCGCGCATGAACTCCCGGGACCGCATCGGCCCATGGACCGCATCGGCCATGGGGCCGCATCGGCCAAAGACACCGCATCGGCCAGACTTCGGCCGGGCAGAAAGCATCTCTCTACTTTATTTTACTAAGTATTGTACACAGCCCATTAGTGGCCCTATTTCGCCCAAAGAAGGCATGGTTATTGTAATGGGCCTCCTAAGCCCATGGCTAGGAGCCCAAATCCACATTTTTTCCTATAAATAGACCCCTTGGGGCTAGTTATAGGGGGTTGAGAAATATAATTACTCACTTTCTCTCTCTAGCTCTCACTTCTCTCTAGAATTAATACGCTATCAAGTATATATAAATTACGAAATGAGCGTTCAAAAAACTCATTTGAGTATGCTCATTCATTTTGGGTGTTATACTCATTTCAATTTTACATGAAACTCATTTTCAATGTGTTCAATATTAGTTTGTGTGAGTTCATTTCTTTTAGGCCTATACTCATTTCTTTTAGGCTCATTTAAAATCACCACCATGCTCAAACTTTTATTTGCGTATGCTCATATCTTTAGAATTACGTACAACCTAGGTTATCCCTGACCCAAAATCCACCAAACTAAAATAATCAGTGTGAGAAAAAGGAAAAGAAAGGAACAGAACGTGCGAAGTTAAGGACGAAGCTGAAGGAGAGCTGCTGAAGGGTTGCGGTTGTCGAAAAAGGGAGAGGTGCTAGTAGGCGGCGAGCAACGGAGCAAGGATGATCGGCCATGGAAGCCTGCGATGGAAGCCCTGCGATGACGGAAGCCTGCGATGGAAGCCCTGCGATGACGGAAGTTTGCGATGGAAGCCCTGCGATGACGGAAGTCTGCGATGGAAGCCTGCAATTCGCGAACTAAAAGTCCGGCTGTACCGTGCGCACGGTACAGACGGCTGTACCATATAATTTGCGGTTTCGTTCAGCCCATGGATAGTAGACTTTCGCAATCCAAGAATATCTCTACCGTCACTCTTTTGTTGCTCGTATTCCATCTTTAAAAAACGGATTCTTTTTTGCTTGAAGAAAGTGATGATCACAATTTGGAAAATATCTACGACCAATTTGTAGAGAAGATGATGTGCTCCTAATAAAATTTCTCTGGACTGTTCTTTACTTTCCTCATATTATAATATACGGAGTATAATTTATTATATACGGAGTAATATTTTATTATATCATATTACATACATGTATAAATTGACAAATATTACTCACGCATACATATACTTCGTATTAAAAAGATGAAAACATACAAATCATTATATTAAATATTTTATTCTAATAATAAATCTTATGCCCTTTATGGTAATTTCATATTATCTTTGCATTTTCTTTTTGTCAAACGGATTTACTCCATTCAGTTAACGGTTCAGATTCAGCACTTCAATGTTCAGCTCCAGAGAATATTCTTTGGTTTAGACAATAGTCCCTAATTCAGACTTTAGCCTCCAGTTCAAGCTCGTTGTGCCAAACATAGCCTTAGACTATGATCTCATGTTGTGTTGGCTAATTGACGGAATGGGGCTTATGATCCTGCTGTCCAATTTTTTGAAACTTATGTTCAATTTTTAAGTTTAAAATTTATTTTGTAGTAACTATTAGTCATCTTCGTGTAAATTGTAGTAATTACAAAATAAAACTTAAGTGACTACACTATTTTGTAGTAACTATTAGTTATTTGTGTAAACAAGTTTTATTTTAATATTTTTTTGGGAAAAACTTATACACTTGTCAATTTATATACTTATATACTTATATTCTTGTCAATTTAAGATGCTATGTTTTTAAAAGGAGTATATATATTTGTCAATTTAAGATGCTACTCCTTTTTAGTTATCCCGTAAAGTTTTATCAAATTTTCTTTTTAGTCATTTCAAATAACTTGGCAATATTGTTTAAGCGTACAGTTTACTTTATTTTCTTTTCCCAGACCAGCTCATACCAGACCAGACCAGACTTCCGTAGTTATAAAATACACAGAAACCAGAAGTTTACCAGACCAGATGAGACCACACCAGCAAATTTCAGTCCAAAAGAAAACATCTTGAATCATCTTTACATCAGAACAATGGGCCATCATACTCGTACTCAGCTTGGGATATGAGTTGGTAATTGCTTCCAGTAGAAGAAGTCCCAATTGCATCAAAGTATCTTTGAAAAGCACAACTCTTATTTCATGATGTTTACACGAGTTTCCTCTTTATGTAAGTCCCTGAGAGGGGAGATTCCCGATTTATGTTTCCATTTTGAAAACAAAAAAAATGTTGTATTCATGGATTAATGGAAATGTGCAAAAGCTCTATTTGACTATGTCATTCTATGAAATTCTTCCCTTTTGTGTATGACATTGTCACTTCCATTGAGAGCATCACCAAATTAGGAACTTAATTTGTAAGCCGTATAGTATCTGTGTGTCTCTACCTGGACATTTTTGGGATGTAGACCAACAAATGGCAAGTGAGACCTTTCGTTTTGACCAACCTATGTTGCACCTCACTTTTATTTCCGTGTTGTTGGTAGAAGACAAATAGAATAATATCTATAGAACAAAATAAAAAGTTTAATGAAATATTACTTCCTTTGTAATTTGCTTTTACCCTTTTTGAGAAAGTGATTTTTTTGCTTTTGACTTTCTCACTTTATCCTTACAAATTAGATTAGGTGGTTGGAGAGAAAAGTGAATGTAAATATGTTGGAAATTTATTGAGAAATATATCTCAAGAATTCAACATGTACTTGAAGCATTATCTTAAATAGGTTGGTGTGGAATTTTTAACTATTAAAGATAATGTTAAAGAATGTTAAGTTACACGGAGTAATTGTTATTGAAGTTATGAGAAGATTTTATTTTAGTGCATTTGATAACTTCTCATAATATAGTACGTAGTAATTATAACTTGAAGACTCATTATTTAAAGTGGCATGAACGTATGAGACTTATAAATTATAGTGGCATGTACGTATGTCTATTTTAATTAAATGAGTTTGATTTTATTAAATGGGAAATTGTTCATTAGTGAACGTGCGTGTCCTTTTGGATTTAGCCGGAAGTTTTCACAAACTCATGGTTGTAATTACTTGCTGAAACGTCAAAGACACGTCCATTTAATGAGATACGTAGTACTTCCTTTCTTATATTGTTAATCAATCGTATTTCCTTCTTTGCCTTGCTCTATTTTATTATCTACACTAATAAAATAAAAGTACTTAGACTGCTTTAATATACAAATCACTTGTTTGGTGTTATTTTATCAGTAGCTAATATACATCATCACCTTCTTTTTATCCCAAAAGTTTTATCTTGTAACTCGGTTACTGTGATAATGGTAGATAGTAAACTTTTAGGAAAACGTATGTAATACGTGACTAGAAGTGATACTCAGTCCATCCATATTTTACACCCTTATATTTTACTCCGTACTATTTTTATCCTCATGTTCTAACAAAGTAGGTAAATAAAGTAAGTGTATAAGAGTAACTTTATGTTAAAAACATGCCAAAATAGAAGCGGAATTTTAATTTTGGCCTATCTATAAGTAGGGCTGGGACTTTGGAACCAAGAACAGGTGAACCGAACCGGACCGAAACGTTATGACCTGGTTCGGTTTGGTTCCAACATTTATTAGTTATTTGTTAACGGTTCGGTTCCTATTTTTATTAACGGTTCGGTTCTCGGTTCATGAAAAAAATATGTATCAGGAACCGTTATATATAATAATTATAATTAAATATATTTCTTATGAGTATATAAATTTTAATGTATATTTACTTATTTATTTTTATATTACACTCATTATTTTAGTTTAGTTATTTAACTATTTATTATTTTAGTTTAGTTATTTAACTATTTAAAACTATTATTCACTTCAACCGGTTCTTTTAGGCTTCTTAGGCCTCTCATTATGTCCAAACTCCAGAGGGTCGGAACTCGGAAGGTCCAAACTATTTAAAATTATTATTCTTTTTAACTGGTTCAACATATTTGTATTGTAATTTCAAACGTTGAATGTCTTTTTAGTAAAAATTCTGTCATGATTTGTAAGATTTTTTTCAAAGACTAGGAACCATTAAATGACAAGAACAGAACCGTTAAGAACGGTTCGGTTCCTTATCGGTTCTATAAAATACTTTATAAAAACCGAACCATTAGTAAATTTTCATATTTTCAAACGGTTCCACATGTTTTACCTAGGAATCGAACCAGGCCTATCTAAAAGCGAAAGTGCCAACTTTAATTAGGATCCGTATTTCATTTGATCAAATTTATTAGTATTGCACTAACAAAAGTTAAAACCAATAAACCATATCCGGTCTAGTCCGTACTCCGTAGCGGCAACACTACTTTTAATTAAAACTTTTATCTTGTCATTTGTGTTCTCAGAAATATAGTATGTTGACAAATTTGTATATTACCATTCGTATTTTCTCAAAATCAAGTATTTTGTGAATTGTTCTTTTTCAAAGGGGAACTAGGACAAATTGAAAATATGTTTACGAATAATACTTCACAAATAAACTAAGAATCTATTTTACCGTTTTCTTTTTCCGTTGTGTTGTGTTTTTATTCTAATACAAGATTTTCAAACCATTGCCCACATTGTCCATCAATCTTAAGCAGGTTTGCCATTGCTTAATTTAAGCATTTTTGGACTTTTGGCTTTGAAAAGGCCAAAAGTAGTATTTGCAAATGTAAGATTCTGCTTAATTTAAGTAATTTTAAGTCAAAAGTCCAAAGTTGGGTTGTGGACGCTTTTAGCTACTTCTAGGCTATTTTGTAATAAGCCTAACATTAAGGGCATTTCTATTCCTAAACATATTCGTTAATCTCCAATGATGCCCTTCGTCCCCACATCCTATGTACAATTGTACCAGAACAAACCTTCCAACATAAAAGAACCATCCTTCCACTTTCATCAATCATCGGTAGAATCTAGCACCATGGATCCAAAATTTAATGGAACATTCTTGTAGGGGACTTACGATTTCTTCTTGTGAATGTGTATTCCCTTTGCAAATCTGTTTCACTATCTCATCACTATTTTGCTGCCGCTCAGTTCCGCTGATGATGAGGGCAAATGTCTCGTGCAGTGATGTCGGTGATGACTGATGAAGGTGCATGTGTCATGCGGTGTCATCTCCAATGGACAAGAAGCACACAAATTTCGACGGGGAGCTCCACTATTTGATCCGAAACTGAAGAGGGCTACAAGGTTTTTAAGCTAAGAGGGCTAGAGGTATTAGAAGGCAGAAAGGCAGGAATGTTGTTCGATTGAGAAGTCCGAATAAGCCACCAACGTGTTGGGGAAGGTGTGAGAAAAGCGTAGATCAAGTCTCTAAGGGGTTGGTGGGCATTTCAGTATGGAGTAATATCTAATTTATTTAAAGGACATTTTTGAACCTTAACAAAATACTTCATTAAAAAGCACTTCTATTCCAAACACTACTTACTTTTAGGGGTGGACTCGGGCCAGGTGACCCGACCCGGAACCGGCCCGGCCCACCACTGTTCAGGCCCGACCCGGTGGCCCGGTCATGGAGCGGTCTGGGTAGGCCCGACCCGAGGTGGTTCCGGTCCGGGATTAGGCCCCTCAAAACGTGAACCGGCCCAGCCGATTCAGGCCCGGTCCGGGCCATTTTTTTTTTAAATTTTTTTTTAAGTTTTTGGATTGGGCTGGGTATTTTGGGCCATTTGAGGTGGTTTGGGTGTGAGGGGGGTTGGGGGTTAATTAGAACAAGGCAAAAAAAACAAATACCCAAGGCCTGGCCCGACCCGGACCCGGGGGTGACATGGGCCGGTTCCGAACCCTCCAATCCAGGACCGGAGGCCCGGCCCGAACCGAGTCCAAACCTACTTACTTTTACTATAAATCATTTTTCCAATAATCTCTTAAAATAATTACTTTTAAAACACAAGCAATCGCAAACACTCTCTTAGTCATTTTATGTCGTTTTAGCTAGGTGTGGGCGGTGTGGCCTCGTGGGCATTGTCCCAATCTAAATGGGGACACGGGGTTCTTGTGATTTAATTCAAACACAATACGCGTTTGAAATGATGAAACGTAACCAGACCCAACCCGAGACAAAGAAGAGCCCATCTTTATTTTCTGAAATCTTGATTTATAAACATAGTCTTTTCATAATTGTCGCATCTTTTGGGTATTGTTCTTTCGTGAAATATTTTGCATTTGAAGTTGTTCTTCGAGGGAAAGCGGAAAACACCACTTTTAGTTAACCGTTGATGCTATTCGATTTCCACTGGTTGTCCAATACTCCGTCTACAGTTGAAGGATCACACTATGTATTCAAGTTTGGTGATTCAAGAACCTTTTATTTCACGGTCTTTCACGGTCTGGGTCCAATTCCTGACAGAACAGTTCTAACTTACATCTAGTATTAACTCGATAGTCGATACTCTTTCAAGAATGATAAGCATAATAATGGTACATACATTAAAGACATGAGTTTAGGAATTGATGTACTGAATGAAAGTCCTAATTTTCTTCTCGTGGGTGGCGTGTGTATAATTGGTGTCATAACTCATAACAGGAGAAAATTAACAGCTTAAACCAAAAACTCACAATATGGTGCATCTGTTTAGTCCAAGAGATTCGAATATTTTTCTGCACTTGGACAAGATACCCATGCGAGGTGGAATATCAGCACCCTGATCAATACCATCTTCAGCAGAAAGGAAGCTTCTGGTTTCATGACCCTCTTCATGCTTCTCAATTTTAACTACGTCCCCAGCATCAACTTCAGCAATTTCACCCGGTCTCTTGTCAAAGAGTCCTTTAAATTGCTTACGAGCTCTCCTATGCACTTCCTGCTCATCAAATTTCAGCATTTACAACAACTATTATAGGAGTAATTATTATTCTTATTTAATCCTCTGATTTTCCGTTCTGGTACCTCTAGATAATCTTTGTGTTTTCTTTAAAGAAACAAGTGTCTGGTAGACATTGATTTTTTTTTCTTTCTCGTTAATTTTAACCACTTTTCCATCATTTGCAATGGAGCCAAAGATTCATTATTTTTTGGCTTGAAAATATGATGGAATAAAGCAAAATGGCTCACCAAACTTTCTGCTCTTCTTTTTTATGAAGCAGCAGTCATTCCATGTAATTTTGGGATTTTTTTCTGGGTCAATCGGAAACAGTCTCTCTGTGCTTTAGTACAGGGGTAAGATTGCGTACACCTGACCCCCCCTTACCCCACCGTAGGTGGGAGCCTTTGCGGCACTGGGGTAAATGATGATTGATTGATTAATTTTAACCGCACAATTTGTTTTTATAGTAAGCGTACAAAGTCAAATTTAAAAAATTAAATAATAGATGAACTAGTGGGCTAATAGTAAAAAGAGATTTTTTCTAGAATATTACTCGAATAAATATTATGGACAAAATATGACTAGTTATAATGTGCGTAACTTCATGATCACTATAGTGTAAACATCGTAAAGTTGAACACAATAATAGTCATTGAAAGTTACTGACATAGTCACTCTATATAAGAGGTCACATTTTTGTACAATCTTTATTTGGATCATAGATATGTGGTACCTCATTATTTATAATACTGCGAAATAAGCAATTATTATTACTATCATAATAATAAATATTATTAACGAAAGCATATATGCAAATGGACTTAAGTGCAACTCACCTGCTCTTCTTTTTTTAATTTCATAAGTGCTGCATTTGAGGTTGACTCGGATGACTTGTCAATGCTCATCATCTATAAGCAAATCATACAAATTCAAGTCAAAACATTGTAGATGCTTAACTTGGTATTTTGACTTCATAACTAGATCATGTTTACCTTGTTAAAATCATCCCTTGCTTCTTGAAAATCTCCAGCTGCCATGTAAGCCATTCCCCTTCTATAATATGCTTTGACATGAACAGGATTTGCATCTAACACCTAAAAATTTCAAGTACCTACTGAGCCCATATATTACAAAACCCATGCATGATCTCAAAGCTGTCACTGCCACTTCTTTAACCATTGTACTCAAATGTTATAACCACTCTAATCACTTGAGCACTATACTGTGTATTTTGAGCATGCAAACAGGTGAAAACATTCTTTGACAGATATTAAAGTTTATAAAAACAAGGTAAACTTTGTCAAATTTGTTCTAAAATCGATGTGGGCAACCTGGATGGAAAAACTGAAAACCGACCGACCAAACCGAATGTGACAGATATTAAAGTTTATAAAAACAAGGTAAACTTTGTCAAATTTGTTCTGAAATCGATGTGGGCAACCTGGATGGAAAAACTGAAAACCGACCGACCAAACCGAATGCTTCGGGTCTACAAACCAACTGACCGACTTCTATTTGGTTCGGTTATCAGTTCAATATTTCGGTAAACTGACTGACTTCTATTCGGTTCGGTAATTGGTTTTTCAATTTCTGAAAACCAACATTGATCCGATGAACACCCTTACTTTGCAGTATCTAAAATTCTAAACTAATTATGTACTGGTAATTAAATCCCTGTGTCTGCTCCAAAACAGAGATATAATTGTATACTATTAACTTTCTTGGCTGATGTCCACTTCTTCCCATTCCTGGCTCTCTAGAGTATCTATCCTTGTGGTCATAATGTAATGCGTTCATTTTAAAATCTATTTTGTGAACTTAAAAACTGAGAATAACTTTATCTTTTAGTTACTATTGCATCTTCTCAACACAACTTTGATCCAATTATTCAAAGTACTCACAAATCACAATGTTTTTCCGTCATCCTGTGAAAGTGAACTTGATGTAAAGGCATATCACGAGGGGAAAAAAGACAATTCAGTAGGCGATCAACATTGGAGAAAATGGAGCTATAACTATTTCATTTTGCAGGTTGTATCGTCATACACGTCTTTTTTCTCAAGTTGAAATGAAATACAAAGCCGGAGTGTGTAGTTCAATAGTAAGTATCAGCATATATATACTGATATTAATAGCTGCTAAAATGCATCATAATAAATGAAATCCATGATTAGTGAAGAAGATGAAGCCGCAGATTACCTTATTGCATGCTTCTATAGACTTTTTATGCTCTCCCAATTTCAGATAGCAGGCAGCAACATTTAGATGCAACAAGTTCTGCATACAAAAAATTTAATTTGTGAGTTCACATAATCACATAAAGGTGCATTGCAACACCAAAAAAACTATTGTTAAGAGTAGCCTTTTTATTCTTTAACTCGCTAAAAGATATGTAAACAGACTGATGGAATTTTAAATTTCCACATATTACTGTTAAGTGTTAACAGATATACCCTGGTTTCAGAGAATTCCTTTCCCTCTTCGTCATCTTGAGGATGAACGTGATTAAATTCACGAAGAATCTGAAGATAAAATCCAAAGTAAAGTGCAACTTCAATGGGCAGGATGTGAAAAAAAATATTTGGAACTTATGAGCTTCCAACATGAAAATGAAACAGTACATGCCTTCTCATACTTTGCCTTCGCAAGTTCAAACATCCCTTCCTTGAAGAGCCTGTTTCCCTGTAGAGGAAATTACAGTGGATTGTGTCTTTTTATAACGATCATCTAAGGGTATGTTTGGGAGTTGAAATTTAGAGGGAGGGGAAGGTTAATGGGGGTTTATGACCCTCCTTTTCATGTTTGGGAGTTTAAAAATTGGAGGGGATGGTTTTGAAGGGCTTTTGTAACCCTCCAAAATCCTCTAAATGCTCAATTTTTAAGTTCCCCCAATTTAGAGGGTTTTGAAGGATAATTAACCAAATGATAATTTAAGCTCAAATTAAAATGAATATTAGTTTAATTATTTGAATTCGTCGGATCTCGAACTGATTTTAATTATAATTCCTTCAAAGACTCTCTTCTTCCGAATTTATTACTCCCAAATACGAAGAAGGTTTTCCTCACCTTCCCCTCCCTTTCCCCCCTGCAACAACATCAAAGCTTTCTCCTCCCCTTCCACCTAACTCCCAAACACCCTAAGAGAACTATCTCCATCACAGATAGGAAACAAGAAAAATAAAGCCAAAGTTTAGAATGTTATCTGGCATGAGACTCCAGAATCAGTCATCTAATACATACCGTGCTTTTAATCTTCTCAACATCTTCCATTATTTCTCTAAAACCGAAGCCAGTCCAATCCTGTAATATTATCACATTTTACATGCACAAGAAATATCACAAGACTGCAACCAGAAAAAGGATAAAGAACCTAAAACCCTTGTTTGGTTCAAACGAGGGGGTGGAGGGGATTAGTGATATACTCTATCAGACCATTATTTAGATTTAGATGTTTTTTTTAATGCGTGGAATTAGAAATATACATACATATAGGGTAACGTTCAAATAAAAAGTGCTTCCCTGCAAAATGCACACGGATGCACTTTTAGTAGTATCATGCACCTTCACGTTCAAACTTCAAAGTAATGCATATTTTGTGGTGATGGAAAATTTTGGCTTATTTAACAAAATGTCACCGCTGCATTTACATGGGAAGATGGCCACACACACATAGAATTAGGATCAAATGAGAAGAGTGTTTATTGTAAGAAATGGGAATGCATTTGGTGAGTTGAATTTGAGATATAATGGCTGTAAAAGTCCTGTAAAAGTCCCAGATTGCTAGAAAAAAGTGATGAATGACGTGGTGGGATCGTGAGAATTTCATAATTAACTGAAACTTTTCTGCCATATGCCCATATGTGTAAAAGTGCATTAGAAAAGCGTAATGGTGCATCAGAAAGAAAAGTAAAAAATTCTCATTTCTCACGTTAAGGAGATAAATTACCCTTCTATTAATAAAATGGTAGGGTGTTCCCTGGCCCCTGGCCCAAAAAGGATTCCCAGCCTTCTCGGGGGGGGGGGGGGGGGGGGGGGGGGATAAATAACTTCTCTGATGTCCCACAAATCTGAGGAGTGAGATATGACTCTATAGCTCCTCCACTTAGCTCGCCCCCATCACACCCCACCCAACTCCCTCAACTAAACGCACATCACTCCTCTTTCCTTCACTCCCATCCCCTCCTAATGCCACAACTCATCTCCCCACGCCACCCCTTCCCTATATAATTCTCCAACTAAACCGTGGCTAAATGACAGAACACAGAAACCAGTCCTCCCACTCCCAGTACATTGTCGTGCTTCCCCTACTTCCTAAATTAGTAGTTGACTGTCAGCTCTATTACCTTTGGTGTGTTAAAATCTAGAAGCTCAATTTCCCATTGGACATAGGCACCTTCAGGAACATTAACTGGCCTGATCATAATTTTCAACAAAATTCAATATGCTCTCAGTTCAAATGTTAACAACAGTACAACACAGACTTATTTAATAATGATGATCACAAAGTACCTTTTAAATTTATCATAAGCATAATCAGGAGGGCATGTGACAAGAGCAACCTCTCCAGGCACCATTAGCCGGACACACATTTCAAATCCTTCAGGAACCTGAAGATGAAAAAGAGGTTCTGAATCATTCTCGAGTAGCAATGGGTAAGGAAAACAATTTACACACACAAAACAAAAAGCACATCATTCTACAAAATGCAAATGACTTACAAGCCCCTCCCCTGAACTGAACTCAAAGGGTTGACCATTGTTGTCAAACTTCGTATCATAAAAGACTGTTTTCTCGTCATTAAGAAGCATGCCCTTGTAGTGGACACGCAAAAGACTGTCCTGAAGGGGGCAATCCATAGGAAACTCACCTAAAAATTATAGTAAATGAGTCGCTAATACATGAAATAAGGCTGCAAAATAATGAATCAGAACAAGGATGTTTATAGTTGGACTTATTTCAGTCACAGACCTCGCAGTTGTAAACTACACTGAAAGCATACATCTATCAGACCAGAAAATTTCAGTTCAAGTAAAAACATCCTAAGAAGTGGCTCGAAGGGAAACCTCTTCCATCACGAATACGACGTTTGATTAAGCGTCCATCTCCGAGCACATCTCGTACCTGCAAACATCGCCCCGAAGCAAATAAGATTTTTTTCGTTTTTGAATAGAAACAAGAAGAGACCATCTAAATCCCCATCCCACAATGGGAGAAAATTTGTATTTAAGGTCTTTCAATCAAACCATCATAATAGATATAACTCATAAAAGGAGTTTGGAAGAGTAAATAGTTAATGGTTTAGATTAGGAAAGAGAACATTACTTTGCAGTAAATAAAGTAGATTATTTGGAATTTAATAGAAGAAAAATTCGAACTTTATAAAGTTGATTATCAAAATAAAAAGTAGAAAGGCCATACCAAATCATTTGGAATTTAAAATTATGATAACCATGTCATGACATTTGAGAGCTCTACTTATCATGTAAGAGTAGAAGAGATTATTATACTAACAATTGCATAAATAGAAGTTTATTGAATAAATTAAACATAAAATAGCCACAAGATATTTTAAAAACGAGAAGTATGAACCTGAATGAAGTGGACAAGCTCCACCTCAAAAATAATTTCCTCAACGCCTTCTGTTGTAGGTATCAGTGGAGTTTGATTCAAGTATTGATGTGTAACATAAACCACTGCTTTCTCTCCCTGTGACATTGATCCTATTCCCATTTCAAGACCAATTGGTACCTAATCTTGACAATCCAAGAATAACAATAAAATACATGATGAGAGCCCATACTCTGCGACGTATATAAAGCATAGCATGATCATGAAAAATAATGAGGTTTTAGAAAACCATGCACACAGTAAACATTTAAGAAGAAGGGCAAAGAATAACCAAATACCTTAATACTTGGAAGAGAAAATGTCAAGGATTACATTATTACCTCAGATTTACCAAAGGTGAAGGAATATGGTTCATCCTGAGTATCAGATAGAATCACTCTTCCATCTCCAGACTTTGCAGAAATCCTAAAAACATTTACTAAATCATATTCCTCCAAATATAACGGTAGAAAGCACATAGACCATCGTCTCAGAGTATAAACACAAGATGACACGAAAGATTAGGTCCACCAACATCAAATGTGGTCTTTACCTGGCTTTCACTTCATAAGGATCTCTAGGGTATTCCCAACTCTTCCCTTCTTCTAGAACCTGCCTCATTAAGTGAAAATAAAACTTAACTATGCAAACTAAGTGTATCCTCAAAACACTCGCTATATTTCCAGCAGGGTATGCAGATTCATATTTTATCCCACATCACTGAACTGCACTAGTTCAAGATTTTCCTATAAATATGTCTTTTGGGACTGCGGCTTGGATGACGTTACTGTTGTTGTATTTTCCTATAAACATGCAATGAAGTTATAGTCCACAGGTGATGTTTAACCCCCACTCACCCACCAAATAAGAAAATGATGCATTAATATGCAATACCCTTCTCTTAACCATTATTCTCCATTCAGCATCAGAAAAGAGAAGGGAAAGCCATTTAGACAGAGTAAAGGTAAGATCACAAAAAGTAAGGGGCGACACACACACAATACTGAAACCTGCCCAAGGATTTTCTTTGTTTGGAATAACAACCCATGTTCTTTTACACTTTCAACATTGTCACACCAAGAAGATTCCAAAGATATAAATAATTCAAAAAACTGTGACAGCCTGTCAGGGCAATATTTATGGAACATAATCAAGCAGCAATTTGACCATCTCATTAATACCTTCTTCAGGACTCCCAAATCAGAGCTGAGAACCTGACAATCAAATAAGAGTGGAGGAAGATTAAAATAAGAGTGAATACTAGCAGTAGAGAAAATGGAAAAATAGTAAAATACATACATTACTAATTTACTACATCCGCCTAAAAGCAGTTCTGCTTGACTAATGTAGAAATTACAACATTTATATATTTGGTAAGGTACCTCTGCTATAAATCATTGATTCTACTTCTGATTTTAAATTTTTAACACTTATTTGTTGGTTTAACTATGCTTCTCATATGTAAGTTGTATCCAATGTTTTTTTTTTTTGGAAATTACATGAAAATATTTAATTTTTTTAATCAAACACGACTTATTGCTTAGTCCATTTTTAGGACAAGAAGTGTTTAAGCATGAGTCGCTTACTAGGGCGGACAGAGAGAGTACAAGATTTTAGTAAGGCAAATTTCAAACATGCATATGCAAGTCAATACTAGAACTTTTCTAAGCAAGTGAGTCACATATAATAGCAAATTAGCAATGGACAACAATAAAAAGTAATTCAGGGTCATTGTGCAGTTCGAGGAAACATGGTTTACAATCAAAACACATGATATTTCAATTTTTAAAATTGAGTAAAGAATTGACACAGAAAAATCTTGCCTTGACTTTAGAGAATTCTATCAATTCAATCTCAAAATGAAGTTCAGCATCCTTTGGAAAGCTGTCAGAAACTGAAACCGGACAATCTTCCTCTCTGTAGTGCATTTCAGGTTTCATCTTGAACTGTCTCAGAAAATCAACACATGATATTAATAGAAACAATGTGGTGTGTGACATGAAGTTATGATTCAAATAAAAAATGGGTATTCTGGATCAGTAAACTGTTCGCAACAAAAAAGAGAGTCTACATGATTACCACTGCAACTTCACCCTTCAACATTGTGGGAATTCCTTCTAGCAACCCTAGAAGCATCTTGCTTTTCCCCAAAACATGCCTCATTGGGATACCCTTGCCTTAGTAATCATAACAAAGGATAAGAGTGGCAATTCAATGTAGAGGCATGAGAACCCTCATTATAATGGAAATGAGGTCGTAGCAATCCAAGGACAGTGCACACATCATGTATACTTGACAAATACTAGTAATAGTTTACTATATGGATGGGGAAGTTCTATAATTTACTGCGGTGCAAAAATTACCTCCAAGTTGTGACCTTGTGGACTCGACAGTAACTCCATCTGTTGTTCGAACTGTGCAATGATATGTTAACTGCATAATTCATAAACAACTATGATAAGCATCATGTCATACAACAGAAGTTAAGAGCATCACCATCAATGAGTTATAAAAAAAACTAGGTTGTCATTATACAAATTCATATATAGTATATACTATAAGCTAATTAATATTCTTAAGAAGGTGATTTAAACATGAGAAAACAAATACACAACCTGATCACCCTCGGTAGGTCTTGATTCGCCTCCGCCAGGCCTAACCACGGCTTTCATCAAGCTTCCTGGCACAATCTTTTTTCTTCTGCAAATTTATCGTCCCAAAAAGCAACATTAAATAATCAATTCTCGGATCATAGGATAGTATAAGGGTGAAGAAGAAAGACCTTTTCTCATCCTCGGAAGGAGGTTTCTTCTTTTGGGGTTGGAATTCTTGCCCGGACTCTTCATCTATGGCCATCTTCCTAAGCTGTTGAGCAAAATGAGATATTCAGAACTCAGATTGGATTGAAGGAAAGTATCCGAGCTCATGAGCTATGATGAAGCCAGGTGAAGATGAACCCATGACATGATTATCCGAGCTAATCGAGGAAACTGAAGCAAGCATATAGACTAAAATACTGATGAAGGGACTGGGCTTCCGTGTGAAGCTTAAAGTTCAGGGTGTAATTACGTAAACTGAAATATAATTATTATTGACATATGACATCCGGAAGCTAATCACCTAAGCCTATTAACCAAAGCAACACTCCAAATTGCAGATTTCAATCCTTCTTCATTAGGAATATAAAAAGTGATAAAACATCTAATAATTATGTTTCGAATCTGGATAGTTGAAGCTAAGACATAACTTTTGTTTGACATATAAGGTTGGAAATTGGAACAGGCAAAAAGAGTGATGAGATTACATTATTACACAACGAAATATACCTGAACAAATGAATATCAACGCGCGGTTGTCAAAGAGCAAGCGAGAGCAGAAAGGGAAGCGTGTGGAAATTGGGAGATTTTCTAATTTTTAAAACCTCTATACAGATGTATTAACTCAATAAAAATGCAATTTTGTTTGTGAGGTTAAATCTGTTGGAGTGTTTGGTCGTCAAGAACCCAACACAAAAACATTAGTATTGTGTATTTGTTAAAGTGTGGAAAGAAGTGAAGTGGACAAATGGGACTGATCCAAATAGGCCACTTTATATTTTGAGATAAAGTCATTCGTGAGTGAACTTGGTAATCTTTTCTCAAATCATGGTCTCTTACTCCTAGTGTTAGCTCCAATGATCGTGCAATCATCTATTGGTGAGTTTAAGATTTAAGGTTGCTTCATCAGTTATTTTTTATGATCTTTACTTTTTTTACATAGAAATAAATTGGTTCATTTTGAGATTATCTTTTTTCTTCCAGTTATAAAACATTAGGTCATTTTCTGGAAACAGCCTCGGCAAATAATCTTCAAAAGTTATTTAACAAAACGTGATTAGTTGAGGTCCTTCCAAAATATAAAGTACTAAAAATATGAGGATGAGTTGAACATTTACATTTCTTATTGAACTCTAAATTTTACCCTAATCAACAAAGAGGTGAATCAAAAGAGCAAATGATTCAATATTCTTGATTAATCAATAATCTCAAAAGAAAAGAGAGAGGTTTTCGTATTACACTGTCAAACTGACACGTGCACATCAATTGTTTGTGAAATTGACCGCAAAAAGAAAGGGAGAAGATGGTGCAAGCACAGAGGCTTTATGAATTTTAGGTTAAATAGCTTGTGAATTTTAGGAAGCCTGAGACTTTCATTATTTCCACTATCTCTTTCACTTTATTTTGCAGATTTTCAATTAAAAAATGTGGTTGGGGTCTCTTATAGACACATAAAGTTGTTAATGCAACCTTCCCAAAGAGTACTAACTCAAGAAAGGCTACTAAATCAGGCAAATCTAACTTCCAGGCCACAATTTGCTATCATTGGGTACTAAAGAACTTAAATTGGTGATGGCAGCCGCAAAGCTTCGAAAAGGGGCTTTTTTCTATTACAATAAATATAAATGTTTATTCTTTTGGGGAGATAAGACTGGAAGGGATAACTACCCTGGGCAAATATGAACACACTGTGTATATCCAAAAATGAAGGGAGAGTGCTTCAGAGGAAATAGTCATATTCTAGATAATTTGTCTGAATTCCAGCTACATCTACATGCTACTTTGTTTCAAGTTTCAACTCAGTTCCCACACTTAATCAAACTACGTATCATTCAATTATGGTCTTTTACGCTGAATCATACTCCGTATAGTTCATTAATCATTACACCAACACCTGGACAAAGAAGTGGATTGACAGAGTCTAGCCAGAAACGGAGAAACGAAATGGAAACATACCTGGACGGCTGACGCGAAACCACGGAAACGATGGGAGTAGATCCGGACGAGGGTGAGGGCGCGGATGGACCAATAGTTAGGAGCCGGTGAAGAAAACGGCGGTCTAGAGTAGAAGGGAGTGTTTAAAAATGTGATTTTTTAAATTAATTTTGGGAAAAGTGATTAATAGTAAAAGTTGGCGGTGTTTGAGGAAAAGTGATTCTGAAAAAGTAAAAGTTGGTAGTGTTTGGTAAAATAAGTACTTTTGTCTAATAGAAAAAGTGAGAAGCAGTTTAAAGCACCTTTCTACTTGCTTCCAGCTTTTAGCTTTTAAGTGATTAATTTAAGCAGAAGTTGTCATTTGAAAACACTCTTTTCGGCTTTTTTTAAGCCAAAAGCTAAAAAGTGCTTTTTTAAGCAATCACAAACACTCCTTAAGTCACTAGTCCTGCAGCTCCTGAGCGGCAACCCTATATGGCTATATTCCCTAAAATAAAAAGGTATTACCCGAAATAGAACTAAGGGAGTGTTTGCGATTGCTTCAACTTTAAAAAAGTGATTTTTTAAAGTGGTTTTGGGAAAAGTGATTAATAGTAAAAGTTGGTAGTGTTTGAGAAAAAAGTGATTCTGAAAAAGTAAAAGTTGGTTGTGTTTGGTAAAATAAGTACTTTTTGTGTAATAGAAAAAGTGAGAAGCAGTTTAAAGCACCCTTCTACCTGCTTCCAGCTTTTAGCTTTTAAGTGATTAATTTAAGCAGAAGTTATCATTTGAAAACACTCTTTTCAACTTTTTTTAAGCCAAAAGCTGAGAAGTGTTTTTTTTAATCAATCCCAAACACTCCTTAAAAATGTTTGAAAATTCCAAAATAAGACTGTCATGTTTTTATTCTCAAAATATGACTAATTACTATCATGTTTTGGCAATAACAAACTTCAAACATGGCTATGTTTTCCAAACTTGAAAGTAAAAACTTCTATTTTGGAAATAAAAAACATGACAGTCCTATTTTGGAATTATCAAACTGTTTTAGTCCTATTTCGGAAACTTTCCCAAAAAAAATAGGTAAATATGACTGATAGTATATGTTGGGTTAAGGGCCCAAGCCGAGGTCCGGCCCACTAACCCACTTTGCCGGACGAACGTCCAGTTGGAACACTAGGCCAGCCCACAGGCCCATGTTCCTTGGGGATGGGCGAACGTCTGGGGTTGGTAGTTCAGGCCCAGCGGCCCCCCCGACGAGCGTCAACGCAGGGACGAGGAGCAGGGCCACGGGCCACCAGGGATGACGACGAACGTCCCCATGGCAAGCCTATAGTCATCGGAGGAAACCCAGTCCACATGGTGAATACCCGTAATGTCACGCCCCGGTCTGGCCGGACGCGCTAACAACCGCCGCATAATCCGATTAAGGCAACCGCAGTTCACCCTACTCGAACCATGCAAGGCGTACATGAATACCATTCACACAAGTACATCCATAAACAATCATAAATAAAGCATTTCAAATATACGCAGCGGAATACAAATACTTTTTAAAAAGTAAAAGGCCACACAGGGCGAACATGAGCACGCAGGCTCCCAAATGATTTATAATTGAAAAATAGTTCCATGAGCATTATTTTATTTATATCAAAATAGAACTGGAAGAAGCACGAACCACGTCTTCTCTCCATGGATCACCCGAAGCAACGGGAACAGGAAGCAAGCTCTAGCTTCTACCTGAAACTGTGAGGTGGCCTCCCCCGTGAAGGGGAGGTCAGTACTTGGAAGCATTTGACAAGTACAATGACAACTATACTGAATATAATTCATGTTTCAAACACAAGACCCTCAAAATAGGGTGATACTATATTATGGGCATAACCTACAGCTACCCCGTTTCAAATCACTTGTATAGAATATATATACCAAGTCAAATAGCCGACCCGTAGGTCCATTTGTATTTCAAAACAATTCCCCTTGTACAGCCCTTGGCCTATTCTTGCATATAGCAATATCGAGAGGTTATCCCACCCCTAGTCTAAACCCAACTCCATCGAGAGGGTTACACAATTTATCATTTGTACTCGTCCACGTTGGACTTACCCACCCTACGGGTGTATTCATTCATTTTGGGCTTACACCCCCAGCATTATATCTTTGATTCATTTAGGGTTTACACACCCCGTATATTCTTAGTTCGTGTAGGGCTTACACACCCCGTATAATACTTTACTCATTTAGAGGGCTTACACACCCCGCGTAATACTTTACTCATTTAGGGCTTACACACCCCGCGTAATACTTTACTCATTTAGGGCTTACACACCCCGCGTAATACTTTACTCATTTAGGGCTTACACACCCCGCGTAATACTTTATCATGTAGGGCTTACACACCCCGTATAATACTTCATTCATTAGGGCTTACACACCCCGCGTAATGCTTTATTCATTAGGGCTTACACACCCCGCGTAATACTTTATTCGTGTAGGGCTTACACACCCCGCGTAATATCCTTTATCTCGTTAGGGCTTACACACCCCGTATATATATATCCCCGTATACTCATTGTACACGAGCAATCATAATCTATCAACCTCGGGCTAGTCTTCATCCAGACTCCCCGGGCTGCCTTCATATAGTCTAGGTAGACTCCACCATTTCCTTTGAGTGTGACCATAGTCCATCACTCATTCTAAGTTCATGCCTATCTAATTCAATACTATAGATAGCACATACAATTAATCACTACGGATTCATATCACTTTGATCATGTCAATAACTCAAGTATTCCTTACTTCACATTTAATCATTTTGCCTATCCACATAGGTATCCATATATCCCTTTTAAGATCTTATGGAATCACACATTTATCAACATTTGTCTATATCATGCTAATCCTCTATATCAATTCAATAATTAATATATTTCAAGGATTTCTCCCCTCATGCATAATGCCTTTGCTCATTCACCTTTGTAATATCATGTATCAATTTATATGACCACATAGCAACACATTTATTCACATTGGAGTATATCATTTAATTCCATCAAAATCATAATTTGATTACTTAGGTAATCTCATGCTCAACTCACGAGTTATAGACAATATAGTCAGCCATCCTCACCTTAAATATGTCCAGCAAGGTTGCCTATTGAAGCCCCGTCGTTAAACCTTCGATCGGGAATGATCTGAATCCACCTTGGCTGGCAGAGGACAAAAGCCGCCCGGCTTTTGCAAAAGCTGCCCGGCTTTCGGGTTCTGCTGCACGAAAACAGCACCTAGAAGTGGCGGTTTCCGGCGATTTCGATTCCTATCGATTCAATAACTCTTCTAAGTTAATTACCAACACTTTATATCATATTTCCACACTTTTAAACGTGTAGAACATCCTCATTAATCCCACATATGATTTCTTAAAAATCATATTCACAAAACGAAGTAAATAACTAGTTTGAACGGGATTAGCATTCGGTTACCTAGAATCGAGCTCTCTTCTTCCCGGAATCCTCCTCTTTCTTCCTCCTTGCTCCAAGAACGTGTGAAGCTTTTTGTGAGCTCTCTCCCCTCTCTATTCTTACGCACCAAGCTCTCCAAATGGGAGGATAAGGAGACTCCCCTCCCTTATCCTCTATTTTTAGGAAGTTGGGCCGGTTTTATTTGGGTTCGGTTCACGGGCTGTTTCCTTTTAATTAATCCGGCCCGAAGCTATTTATAAATTAATCCTCCCATTGATTATGGTTTACACTTTATACGGAATACCCCGAATTAAAGTGTAGGAAACCCTTCAACCTTATACTTGCTATTTTCGGTAA